TAGAATGGGAAGGGAACTTGGAAAAATGTATATATTAGTGTGAAGGGATTATAGGTTATTGGATTTTCATGTTATATTTATGCAATGTTTTTCATAAAAAATGAGATTAATACTAGAGTTTTTCTAATATATAGAACTAAGGTATTAATCCTAACATGGGTGATAATTTTCAGAAGCATGTGAAAATATAAGTGGTTGGATTATGGACATCTATCACAACACCACTATGGTGATGCATGTGAAAAGTTGTTTAGGAAAAATAAAATGCAGAAAGTGGCAAATTTAGCTACAGGATATTCAAGGCATGCATGGAGGGTGGAGAGTAAAGGAGACATGGCACAAATTGTAAATGCCACCCTTCAGCACAGTCATGTCTTTTGCATTTTATCCCTTATTTTGAAATAATCTCAAACTATAGAAAATTTTCAAGTAACCTAAAGAAGATTCTGTTTTGTTCCTAAGTTATTTGAAAGTTGCCAATGCTCTACCACTCCTAGATACATTAGTGTGTATTTCTTACAAACAAAGACTTTCTCCTTTGTAACCACAATACAACCAATACCATCAGGAAAATGGCATCCCTACATCACTCTCACCCAATCTTCAAAGCCCACTGAAGCTTCACCAGTTGTCTTGATAATATCCTTTACAAAAAGCATCAGTTTAAAATCATATGTTGCAAGTAGCTGTCACGTCACTTTCATCTCCTTCAATCTGGAACACTTCCTCCATCTTTACTTGACTTTCATAACTTTGAAAGATTATAGAGCAGTCATTGTGTAAAATGGTTCTCAGTTTGTGTTTTCTGATGTTTCCTCATGATCAATAAGTTTGGCGAGAATATAACAGAATGATACTGTGTTCTTCTCATTGCATACTGTCAGGTGGTATATAATTTCTATTTTCCCTTTACCAGTGAGGTTTACTTTGAGCTCTTGATTACGGGTGGTGTCTGACTCATTTTTCCTTCAGTAATTAGCAAGTATTTTAGAGGGAGATATTTTGAGACTATATAAATATTTCATTTCACATCAAACTATTTATTTATATCAGAATAGATTTACGTTTTCTCAATTTATTAAGTGAGTTATAATCCTCAGTATATCGTCTAGAAAAGGAAAAAGGAAGAGATACATAGTACCTTATATATCTTTTTATTTATTTATTTATTTAGAGACAGGGTCTCGCTCGTTGCCCAAGCTAGAGTACAGTGGTGCAATCTCAGCTCACTGCAACTTTCCCCTCCCAGGTTCAAGCAAATTTCCTGCCTCAGCCTCTGGAGTAGCTGGGAAACTACAAGAAGGCCTCCACACCTGGCTAATTTTTTTTTTTTTTTTTTTTTTTTTTTTAGTAGAGACAGGATTTCCACCATGTTGGCCCAGGCTGGTGTCAAACTCCTGACCTCAAGTGGTCCGCCTGCTTCAGCCTCCCAAAAGTTGGGATTATGGGTGTGAGCCACCGCACCCAGCCTTAAAATCTTTTATATATGGAAATCAGGGTGTACAGAGATTCTATCCTAATGCCTTGGAATTATTCAAATTTATACTTATATTCACTTCATTTCTTCTCCAGTAAATTTGTCTTCAATTTTTCGCCCAGGTAGAGATAGGGAAGGGCAATCACGAGAAAAGTGGAATATTCCTTTTACCATTTCACCCATTACATACCCAGCTGTCAGTTCAAGTGCATCTGATTTGACTCTCCAGGCTGGCACCTCCTGCAGTGAATGTCACTGATGAAAGTGGGTGTAGACAATGCATGTTCCTATTGCCATGTGGCTGGGCTCCTGAAGTTGTTAACGTTAATTTCCCTAAGGAGATAAGGTGTTTATAAACCAAAACAGTTGATATTTTCACGTGGATCTCAAAGGCCGGACTCAAATTAGGATTATGACTTAAATTCTACAATATCAGATATGCCACTTTGACAAAATGGTGACACAAATCCGAGCTGCCTTTGCCATCTCACCTATACTACTTTCTTACACAATCCATCGCAGTTGGTTTATTTTCATCATCCTAATAAAGAATGACGAATAGTAGCATCTTTAATTTGTTATACCCCACCAACTTCTCTTTTTCTCCCCTTTTCCTCATTCCCTCAACAAACGTTTTATCCACTGTGTCCTTTGTTTGTAATCTTGCCTCTGATCCTCTCTTGAGTGCTCTCTATGGCGTGTGTCTTCTTTCCTTGCGCTGTTCTGTCTTCCCTCCCTTCTCTCTCCTCCTCACCTATGGCCCTCCTACTCCTCTTGGTTCTCTCTCTCTGGTCTCAGAGGTGCCTGACACTTTGACCTCTGCTCCCTCTGTCCTTCCCCTGATTCACATCCCTATTGTATTGATGGCCTACAGGTTTGGAGATAAAGCAAACCACCTCACTAATCTGAGTTGAATGCTTTTTAAAAAAGTTTTAGCTTTATATTTTCAAGTAAAAAGGAAAAGACAGTCTTTGGCTCAGATAACTTTGCGCCAGTTTAGCGGCACTTGTAATTTGCATTACCAGATAGTTACAATCATTGCTGCTAAATCCATTACCTGTTCACATATAAACATTGCTGCTAAGGCAAATATTTCCCTTGTTTATGACCCATTTATGGAGTATTTTTCTTAGGAACACTGAGTAATGACTAAGTTTCCAAGCTCTAGAGTTGAAGTCCCTGCAATCAAACCCTGGTTCAGGTTTGGTGTGGTAACATTGTGCAAACATTCTCTAAACTTCAGTTTCCAGTTGACAACGCTACTGCACGGCTGAGTTAGCCTATAGTGCCTCCCAGCCTTCTCAGCCTGGGTTCTGAGAGGGAACTAAGCCTTCCAAAGGTGTTCATTGTATGCAATGAATTAAATTATTTCCTTGCATCTAGAAAGGTACTGGTTATAAAATACCCTTGGGAGAATTCAGAAAGTGGTCACTCACATCCTTTTCTGTGTTCTGTGGTTCATTTGGGGAAACCTGGTCGAAAAACGCTAGGATTCTGAAATAGAAAATTCCCTTTGGAAAACTTCATAAAATTTACTTAGCCTTCTTAAAATAGAATCACCATTTCATTTTAATCACCATTCTATTAAATGGAATCACCATTTCAAGAAAGAGGAAGAACTTACATTTCTGTCACCTAGAATACCTATTCATTTGGACCAAGAACTCTGATTTATGAAAGTTGAACAGATTAACTGCAATTCCGCCAGTATTTAATGTGTATGTTATTTTGCATTTTCATCCAGTGTTTGTTACCGAATGAGAGAAATGTCTTTAAGAAACTATTTGTTCTGTACGTTATTGCTGTGTAACAATTTACCCCACAAGTTAGTGTTGTAGAGTGACACCATTTTATTTTCCTCACTATTTTGTGACTCAGTGATTCGGGAAGGACTTAACTGAGCAGTTCTCCCTTAGGGGTCTCTCCTGCAGCTGCAGTCAGATGTAGGTGGGGGCTGCGGTCATCTGAAGTTAGACAGGCTGTGTAACCAAGGTGGCTCACTCACACAGCCACGGTGGAAGCTGGCTGCTGGCTGGGAGCTGAGCTGGAGCTGTCATTTCAAGCACCTACATATGGTCTCTCCAGTACAGTGGTTTGGGGGGAATTGTATTTCTTCTTGGTGGCTAGTTTTCCCTAGAGCAAGTGTTCTAAGACCGACAAGGAAGGTTGTGTGTCCTTTTTATGACTGATCCTTAGAAGTCACACAGCGTCACTTCCATTACACTCTCTGGGTGGAAGCAGTCCCAAGCCTGTTCAGCTTCAAGGGGAAGGAACGTAGGAGAGGATGTCTATGAGGGCATGTCAAGGATTTGTTACCACTTAAAAAATCACCACAGCTGGTCCTCTGGACACAGATTATTTACATTCTTCCAAACGCAAAATACATTTACTCTCTCAAGACGCCCCAGAAGTCTCATCCAATATGACGTCAGACTCAGGCTGGAGACATGGGATCTAGATGCCCATGCAGATATGGGTGAGGCTCCTCAGGGATGGTCCTTCAGATGCTTTGTACTCTCTCTGAAGACCTGTGAATTAAAGGCTCCTCATACACCCAGGATACAATAGTGAGGGATAGGACAGCGTCCATACTTTTCCTCCGCATGGAACTCTAAACAAGATCCCATTTTCTCTTTAGTTGCTTGGCTCCTACTACCTGGCAGGCAGTGTGCTAGAGTCAGAAGACTTTTTGTCGCCCCACTGTGGTGAGGCTTCAGGCAAGCCACTTGACTCCTCTGGATCTCATTTTTCACGTGTAATGAAATAAGACTGATAGATCCCTTGAGAACTCTTTCAGCTCAAAAGTTCTGTGATTCTGTGAAATGCTAAAATTGTACTACTTGGATATGAACAGACACAAATCATTGTGCATAATTAAGAACATTCCACAAGTAGAGAATGTTACTAAATAAAGGATAAAATTAAAGTATGAATTAATAAAGAAGTAAATTTTGTGGGAAATAGAAGCAGATTTTGAACCAATTTTGCCACTAGAGGTCACCAGTATACCATCTCAAAGAGAATAAATAGGCTTTTATCACTAACAGTTCCCTGTGTAGAACCCCTAAGTGGCATTCACGGTGTCTTTTTGTTTACTTGGAATATCTCCTGACAGTTGTCAGAGACGTATGTTATGATGAGGTGACGTCAGTGTCCCTCTAGGTGATGTTCCAGGTGTGCCTAATGTTCTGTAAGCGTGAAGAGCCACTACCGGAACAGTAAGGAACTAGGATTTTCTGCTTTCTCACTGGGATGCGATGAGGGGCAGGGAAATAACTTGATAGGAAGTAATATGAGCTCTGAGGCGAAAAGGCACTGTGGAAATCCAGTGTCATCCTCAAATGCGGCACAGACATGTCAGCTTTTTTATGACACAGAGAAAGTACGGACTGGGAGCAGAGCACTCGTTTATTCAGCCAATGTCTGTGGACCTGCCTTCAGGCGCTATGCTTGGCAGGGGCTACATTGATGCAGAAGATGCAGTTGCTACCCTCAAGGAATTTAAGAAATGAAATACAGGAGGTTTCTATTCAGATTCAATATTTTAATAAAAAATGTTTTTATTAATGGCCATTGACTTCTACTGATGCTTCTTGAATCTCCAGCTCAAGTGGTTCTCTTCCTTTTTGAACTTTAGATATCCAACCAACATCTTCTGTGACATTCTGTAATATTTCCCTTAAAATACTGTATAAAGAAGGAGGAAGATAAATCGGAATTTGACACAGAACTAAAGATTATTCCATTTAGAGGTTTTTGGGAGAAGCAGGTTGGGATGGCCCCTGAGTTTCACTACATATTTTTGCTGGTATGCCAAGAGTACTGACACCCTGCCAGGCAACTTCTCTCAGATTTTCTTATTTTATCTTGTTGACAGACCTGTAGGATAAGCACTGTAATCACCATTTCTGCCAATGATCTCTTGCAGCATGGCAGTGGGTTTTGTTGTTGTTGTTGTTGTTGTTTTGCAAAGTGATGCTAAGAGTTACACGTTGGGCCTTTTACATCAAATCTAGAACTGACCGTCACATGAAAATGTTAAAATGCTGAGTTCAGTTGCGGCCAATGGTGCTTGTTTGGAAAAACTCTATTAAAATGTATTTTAGGCCAGCACAGTGGCTCACACTTGTGATCTCAACATTTTGTAAGGCCAAAGTGGGAGGATCGCTTGAGCCCAGGAGTTTGAGACCAGCCTGGGCAATATAGTGAGACCTCATCTCTACAAGAAATAAGATTAGCCGGGCATGGTTCTGTGCCTGTAGTCCCAACTACTTGATAGGCTGAGGCAAGAGAATCGCTTGAGCCCAGGAGGTTGAGGCTGCAGTGAGCCATGATTGTGCCGCTGCACTCCAGCCTGGGTGACAAAGCGAGATCCTGTCTCTAAATAAATAAATAAAATAGTGTATTTTAACATAAAATTCTTTGGGTGGGAGAAACAATGCTCCAAGTGAAATTAATACCTTGAAACATAAAGAGTCATGGAGATCTCCTGTGAAGAAACTTCTGTGAGTGACAAGAATGGATTCAGAATATCTCTGAGGACTATATCTATTTTCCCCCAAAATGAAAGCTACAGGATACTTTCTTATAATGTGCTTCATGTAGTACAAAAAGAAAATCTGCAAACTCCAGAGCTCACAATTCTATAATAAAGAATGAGTTGCAAGGAATTTTGGGATCCTTCCATAACTTGAGGAGCTATTTCTTCTAAGGCTGAAGGGGACTTGAACTTGATTTAAACTAGTTGTCATCAGCCTTTAGAGCAGACACTGAGATTGATTCTGAGCAGGACACAGCCACAGCCCGTATCCCTTAGTAGCAAGGCTTTCTTTAGCTTTCTGCCTTCACTGGAGAAGGAAAAAGAGAGCCTGGCCGTATCTTTGCTTTACACTGGGCATGATTTGCTTCACTGCGATGAGTGTTACTAACTATACTGGCAATTATTAATTTTAAGCAATTGTTTTTAAACAAACTAAAGGCAGGCTGAAGACAGGCTTGTTTCTTCTTCTCCTTCTCCTTCTCCTTCTTCTTCTTCTTTGTGTGACAGAGGCTCGCTCTGTTGTCCAGGCTGGAGTGCAGTAGTGTGATCTTGGCTCACTGAAACCTCCACCTCCTGGGTTCAAGCGATTCTCTTGCCTCAGCCTCCCAAGTAGCTGGGACTACAGGCCGAGCCACCACGCCTGGCCTAATTTTTGTATTTTTAGTAGAGACAGGGTTTCACTATATTGGCCAAGTTGGTCTGGAACTCCTGACCTCAAGTGATCTGCTCACCTCAGCCACCCAAAGTGCTGGGATTACAGGCGTGAGCCACTGTGCCTGGCTGTTACTTCTTATCGTTGTAGAGTTTGGTCAAATAGTGGAAAAGAAAGGTTAGGGAGAGAGCTACAAAAATACTACCCGACTTATTTTAAAAATATTTCTGTTAATAGTCACCGACTTCTACTGATGCTTCTTTAATCTCCAGCTTGTGTGGATGCTTCCTTTTTAAACTTTAGATATCCAACCAACACTTTCTGAGACATTTTGTAATATTTCCCTTAAGATACTGTATAAGGAAGGAGGAAGAAAAACAGGAGTTTGACACAGAACTAAAGATCATTCAACTTAGAGGTTTCTGGGAGAAGCACACTGGGATGGGCCCTGAGTGTCATTGCATATTCTTGCTGGTATACCAAGAATATAGGCCCCAACCAGGCTTTACTCAGGTATGTTTGCAGAGAGCAACTTTAAGTGATGAGGTAATGCCTCTCTGGTTAAAGAACAAGCTTGCTTACACTTGCCATAAAAGCCAAAGATTCCCCAAACTCAATGTTCCTTTCCTATATCATAACCCACTGCATGTGCAGGCATCTACAGGGGCCTTCTGCCTCATCCCTGTGGGACTTGGGAGACATAGGTAGCAGCAAAAATCAGCACGAAGCTCATGATGAGCTGGGAGGAAAAGAGTCCTTGAACTCTGACCCAGACACCTCATGTCTTCCACCAGCATTCATGAAACAGGCAATCGTTAGCTTGCAAGTGCAGTTGACCTTTGAACAACATGGGTTTGAACTGCATGAGTCCACTTGCATGCATTTTTTTCAGTAAATATAATGGAAAAATTTTTGGAGATTGTGACAATTTGGAAAAATTCACAAACTTCGTAGCTTAGAAATATATTAAAAGATTAGGTATGTCACAAATGCATAAACATATGCAGATACTAGTCTGTGTTATTATTTATTACCATAAAATAGCACAAATTATAAAAAGTTAAAATTTATCAAAACTTATGCACGTGCTTACAGACCACACATGGCACCATTTACCGTTGAGAGAAATGTAAACAAATGTACAGATGCTGTATTAAATCATAAGTGCATAAAATTAACTATAGTACCTACTGTACTATTGTAATAATTTCACAGTCACTTCCTGTTGCTATCGCTGTGAGCTTAAGTGCTGTGAGTATCCACTTAAAATGCCATGGGACGCTAATCATCTCTGTGTGAGCAGTTCATCTCTCTGGTAAATTGCCTATTGCAGTAAAAAGTAATCTTCTTTGGTTCTCTAGTGTTTTTCATTGTGTTTAGTGCAATACTGTAAACCTTGAATAACACCATGGCACCCATACAAAGTGCCACTATGAATGCTGGAAGTGCTCCCAAGAAGCAGAGAAAATTCATGATATTACAAGGAAAAGCTGAATTGCTTGATATGTATTGTAGATTGAAGTCTGCAGCTGTGGTTGCCCATCATTTCAAGATAAATGAATTCAGCTTAAGAATGATTGTAAAAAAAGAAAAGGAAATTCATGAAGCTATCGCTGCAGCTACACCGGCAAGCATGAAAAACTTACACTTTTTGCAAAATACCTTTTTGTCTAGTATTGCAAATGCAGTTTTTCTGTGGGAATGCAGGATTCCTATAAGAAATGCATACCTATAAACTTGATGTGGTTTGAGGAAAAGCAAAATCATTATATGACAACTTAGAGCAAAAGGAAGGCAAAGGATATAAACCTGAAGAATTTAATGCCGGCAAAGGATGGTTTAATAATTTTAGGAAGAGGTTTGGCTTTAAAAATGTCAGGATAATGAAAGAAGAACCTTCTGCCAACCAAGAGAGAGCAGACAAGTTCCCAGATGCCATTGAGAAAATCATTGAGGGGCCGGGAGCGGTGGCTCAAGCCTGTAATCCCAGCACTTTGGGAGGCCGAGACGGGTGGATCACGAGGTCAGGAGATCGAGACCATCCTGGCGAACACGGTGAAACCCCGCCTCTACTACAAAATACAAAAAACTAGCCGGGCGAGGTGGCGGGCGCCTGTAGTCCCAGTTACTTGGGAGGCTGAGGCCGGAGAATGGCGTGAACCCGGGAGGCGGAGCTTGCAGTGAGCTGAGATCCGGCCACCGCACTCCAGCCCGGGCGACAGAGCGAGACTCCGTCTCAAAAAAAAAATCATTGAGGAGACAGAATATCTGCCTGAACAGGTTTCTAATGCAGATCAAAGTGCCCTGTTCTGGAAAAAAGAATCCACAAAGGACGTTTCTTAGTAAGGAAGACAAGATAGCACCAGGATTTAAGGCAGGAGGGGACAGGTTACCTCTACTGTTTTGTGCAAATGCGGGGGGGTTATGATCAGGACTGCCCTTATCTATAAAGCTGCTCATCCCTGAGCCTTGAAGGGAAAAGAAGAACATCAGCTGCCAGTCTTATAGTTGTACAACAAGAAGGCCCAGACAATGAGAACCCTTTTTCTGGATTGGATACATCAGTGCTTTGTCCCTGAAGTCAGGAATTACCTTGCCCATAGGGACTACCTTTAAATTTTTTTCTGATATTGGACAGTGCCTCTGGCCACCTAGAACCCCATGAATTCAACACTGAAGCTGTCAATGTGGTCTACTTGCCCCCCAAAACAATGTCTTTAATTCAGTTTCTAGATCCTTGGCTCCTAAGAATCTTTAAGCCTTATTACACAAGGTACTCAATGGAAATGATTGTCAATGCCATGGAAGAGAACTCTGATAGAGTATCATGACAGTCTGGAATGATAACACCATTGAAGATGTCATCGTTGTTATAAAAAGAAAGGTGTGGTGGTCATCAAGATTGAAATAATAAATTCATGCTGGAGAAAACTATCCAGATATTGTGCATGACTTCACAGGATTTACCACAGAGCCAATCAAAGAAATCATGAACGATATTATGGCTATGGCAAAAAAAAAAAAAAAAAGTGAAAAGTGAAGGGTTTCAAGATCTGGATCTTGGAGAAATGTAACTGTTAATATACACTACACCAGAGGAATTAACAGAAGAAGATGTGGTGGAGATTGGTGCTTCCAAACCATTGCCACTTGATGAGAAAGAAGACATAGAAAAGGCAGTGCCAGAAAACAAACTGACGTTAGACAATCTGGCAGAGGGGTTCCAATTATTCAAGACTGCTTTTGACTTCTTGGACAAAAAGAATGACATGGACCCTTCTATGATGCAGGCACTGAAACTTCTTTGACACAGGCACTGAAACTAAAGCAGTGAAAGAAAGGTGTTACCATATAGAAACATTCTAAGAGAAATGAAAAGAAGCAAAAAGTCAGACAGAAATTACAATGTATTTTCATAAAGTTTCACTGAGTGTCCTGACTCTCCTTCCTCCCTTTCTCTCCTCCATCTCTTCTGTCTCTGTTGCCCCTGTGTCAGGAGGACCAACCCTTTCTCTTCCTCCTTTTCCTCAACCTGTTCAGTATGAAGATGAACAAAATGAAGATTTTTATGATGACCCAGTTCCACGTAATGAAAAGTAAATATATTTTCTCTTCCTTATTACTTTCTTAATAACATTTTCTTTTCTCTAGCTTACTTTATTGTAAGAATACAATACACATACAAAATATGTGTTAACCGACTGTTTATGTTATTGGTAATGCTTCCAGTCAACATAGGTTATTAGCAATTACACTTTGGGGAAGTCAAAGTTATACATGGATTTTCCATTGCACAGGGTATTGGCACCTCCTAAGCCCCACATTATTCAAGGGTCAGCTGTAGGATAACATCCCAGATCTTGACAAAAGCTGACAGAGGAACTCTATCAAGTTGATTATTTTTATCATAAATGGTTACCAGGGAAACAAAACTATAAGATTCATGTTTGTATAATGCAATTTTTAAAATCCATAAGCAGTCTAGCATTTTAGAACCTTGCTTATAACTCGGGTGCCTCCTTTCCTTTCTTTCTTTTTTTTTTTTCCAAATAGAACTTTTATTACTTTTCTAATCACCTCTTTCTTGCCAAATGCTTTTGGAGCAGGTGCTTTCTGGGCTGGAGCTTTCTGACCCTTCTGAGCTTTTGGAGGCAGCGCTGCCTTCTGGCCTGTGGCTTTCTTGGCAGGAAACTTCTGAGCTGGAGATTTCTTGCCCGCAGCGGTTATCTTTTTGCTAGAACTTTAGCAGCAGCTGCAGCAGCAGTAGCACCCTTCACAGCAGGTGCTTTTTTGGGAGAAGCTTTCGGAGAGTTGTCTTTTGAAGCTTCTTAACTTCATTCTTGATTATTCTGTTCCTCATTGCCTTTACAACTTTAAAATGATCAAAATCTGTCATCTTGGCTTTCCTTTCTCCGGCTTCAATCTTCTTGGCCCCATCGTGTGACTGTCCACTTTGTATTGATATTTGCTTTCTGCCAGGCTTGTCGGACATACTTCTGGTGGGCACTGTGTGGAAACCTGAGGTTGAAATCAGTGAGCTGCATGCACTTAAGAGGCATGGTCTGGCTGGGCGCGGTGGCTCATGCCTGTAATCCCAGCACTTTGGGAGGCTGAGGAGGGCAGATCATGAGGTCAGGAGATCGAGACCATCCTGGTTAACACCGTGAAACCCTGACTCTACAAAAAATACCAAAAAAAGAAAAAAAAATAATAATTAGCTGGGCATGGTGGTGGGTGCCTGTAGTCCCAGCTACTTGGGAGGCTGAGGCTGGAGAATGGTGTGAACCCAGGAGGCAGAGCCTGCAGTGAGCCGAGATTGCACCACTGCCCTCCAGCCTGGGAGACAGAGCCAGACTCTGTCTCAAAAAGAAAAAAAAGAAAGGCATGGTCTGTCTCCTCACTTGAGTGCAAGGTGCATCAATCAAAGCCCTGTTGTGATCAATAACATCTACAGTTGCGACCAATTTTCCTGCACGAGGTCCAGAGGAGATGTAGTGCACGTGACCAACCTCCACGAAGTGCCTGAACACCATGTTGGTGGCGTTTGGCAAGAAGGAAGAAGGCCAGGTGCATTCTTTTATAAAATATTAGTTATCGACCAGGCATGGTGGCTCACGCATGTAATCTCAGCACTTTGGGAGGCCCAGGTGGGTGGATCACTTGAGGTCAGGAGTTCGAGACCAGCCTGACCAACATAGTGAAACCTCATCTCTACTAAAAATACAAAAATTACCTGGTTGTTGTGGCAGGCACCTGTAATCCCAGCTGCTCGGGAGGCTGAGGAGGAGAATCACTTGAACCTGGGAGGTGCAGGTTGCAGTGAGCCGAGATCGCACCACTGCACTCCAGCCTGGGTGACAGAGCAAGACCCTGCACACCAGCCTGGGTGACAGAGTAAGACCCTTTCTCATAAATAAATAAATAAATAAATAAATAAAAGTATTAGTTATCACTGTAACCCTGACTTCTATGCTCTTCAGAGAATTACTTTATGCTTGTTAAAAACAGAATCTCCTTTATCATTCCAGACACATATGATTAATCCTGATTTTAAAGCCAGATTTTGTTTTTGTTGTTTTTTTTTTTTTTAAATGGAGTCTTGCTGTGTCGCCCAGGCTGGAGTGCAGTGGCGCAATCTCGGCTTACTGCAGCCTCCACCTACTGGGTTCAAGCAGTTCTCCTGCCTCAGCCTCCCAAGTAACTGGGACTACAGGTGCGCACTGCCATGCCTTGCAAATTTTTGTATTTTTAGTAGAGACAGGGTTTCACCATGTTGGCCAGTACGGTCTTGATCTCCTGACCTCATGATTCACCCGCCTTGGCCTCCCAAAGATTACAGGTGTAAGCCACCGTGCCCAGCCTAAAGCCAGATTATTTTTATAAAATTTTAGTGAACATGTACCCAGCTGACATGACTGAAAACATAGATTCGTGTTTAGAGAATCACAGAATCACAAAATCACAAATGCTGGAATGAGGTGGCTCAATGACAACTCACTCAGGAAATACACTTTGAGAACCTGTGACAGGCAGAGTGCCAAAAGCTGGATGGTCAGACACAATCTCACCAGCAAAGATTGACTCTTAAATCTGGGGAACCATTCACTCTAACTCACTGGTAGTGTTGTTTGATAAAGTTCTTAATGTTATTTTACACCATGTTAAGAAACTAAATGAACTCTCTTCCAAGCCCTCACTTGAGGAAACAGGGGTGGACAGGAAAGTGACTAACTCCCCGCAGTCTGATGGTTAATTTCAAATATTTGAATGCTGCATAATATCTAGCTCACGATAGACACAAAACTAAACTTTTAAATGAGTAAAGAATGGAATGAATTGAATCTAGGCTGAGCCAGAGCAACAACCCAGGTTTCTTCTTCTTCAAACCAATGTTTGTCACATTGTTGGTAGATCAGAGTTTTCTGAACCAGTCATTTGCATACCAACATCATGATTTTTGCCACATTAAATTAACCATTTAATTAAAATCAGTTTTGAACCTGGCTTTATTCTAAGCAACATGTTAACATCTGTGAATTGAGAATTAGTTGTATTATTCATATTATAATAAAATAAATATGTAACTATTTTTAAAAATTCATCTTGTACAACCAGAGGTATAAATACCAGTTCTGGGGGAAATGCTAATTGAAAATATTATCTAGAGAAAAATAAGGACTGTAAACCAAAAAGTATCTGAGATAGGTCTCAATCAATTTAGAAGTTGATTTTGCCAAGGTTAAGGACACACGTGGAAGAAAAGAACACAGAATCAGAGAAACAGGCTGTGGTCTGTTCCTTTATCCAAGGATGACTTTGAGAGCTTCAGTATTTAAAGGGCAAAAGTGGGCTGGAGAGGGAAGAGCGAGGGTATAGTAATCTACATGTCACTGGAGAAAAGGCGCAGGTAGGGGAATGGTGAATGACGTATTCATCTTGTGCGCAGCAAATCGGCACTTTACATGAGATAGGGTGAACATAGAGTAGCTACCTATAGAGATATTTAACCTTTTATACGTAGCTATCTGCTTAAGAACAGAAGGAAAGGCAGCTTCTTGCATGACTCAGCTTTCAGCTTATTTTTTTTCCTTCTGGCAGAGTGAATTGGAGTCTTGAGTTTTTATTCTCCTTTCACAGCACCGAAACTGCACAGAATCATTCCTAACTATTTCTGTTTTTATGTTAAAGTCCAAAGGTTGATTCCATAAGGACCTTGAAATCCTTTGCAATTCTTGCTTGAGAAACTCTAAAAGTACATGGGTAATTTCTTACATGTCCTCTACCTATTGAACAAATAAATGAAAATGACTGATCAAATTTGTTTACTCTTGGTTATTATCAGAAATTATAGTCTTGAGAAAAGTATACATGAACACCTTAATTTACCAAATAGCTATATGGTATACTGTTGAGTATAGTATACTAGTCTGTAGTATACAGTTACATCTAGTTTTGAAATCAAGTTTTAACAAATAGGTTATATTCTTTACTCACCAAATTCAGAGCAGCATTCTCCAATGAATTCAATAACCTTTCAAGTGAAAAAAATGAGTAAAAAAGAAAATGTGAGTTCTTATTTAGGAATGAAATGAAACATGTTTTGCAAATTAATGAGCTTAAAGCATCAGAGAACACACCTGGTTATACTTGAAAGTTATAAAAAATGCTTCCATTTAGCATATTTCACTTGAAAATATCCACAGTATGTTTAGAACCCTCTAATTACTTAAGACAAAATAGCAGCTTGTATGTGCACAATGAGAGTGTGCCAGACTGGAACATCAAAAAGATCTTGGAAGTTCTCTGTTTCATTATTTATCATTTCTTCCCCCACATAATACATTGTCTTGTACAGTTTTCAATTAGGACTTCCCCCATTCTTTATGAAAAAATTTTAATTTTGTGCCTTTGTTTAGATGAACTATATTATCAATATTCACATAGTTCAGGTCACATGAATGTTCACCTTATAATTAAATATTTCTATGCAATTTCAGTGGTTTCTATTTCTACTTATAGCCTTTCCGTATTCAGAAGAGGGATTTTTTTTTTTTTTTTTTGAAACGGAGTTTCGCTTTTGTTGCCCGGGCTGGAGTGCAATGGCGCCATCTCGGCTCGCTGCAACCTCCGCCTCCTGGATTCAAGCAATTCTCCTGCCTCAGCGTCCCAAGTCTGAAAGCTGAAAATAAGCTGAAAGCTGAGTCATGCAGAGCTGCCTTTCCTTCTGTTCCTAAGCAGATAGCTACAGACAAAAGGTTAAATATCTCCATAGGTAACTACTCCATGTTCACCCTATCTTATGTAAAGTGCCGATTTGCTGAGCGCAAGATGAATACATAATTCACGGTTCCCCTACCTGAGCCTTTTCTGTAATCCCTTGGAAGGGATGCACCACCACTTCCGGCTAATTTTGTATTTTTTAGTAGAGATGGGGTTCCACCATGTTGGTCAGGCTGGTCTTGAACTCCTGACCTCAGGTGATCCGCCCACCAAAGTGCTGGGATTAAAGGCGTGAGCAACCACGCCCTACCCAGAAGAGGGAATTTTTTTATGGCCAAGTAATTTTTAAAACCATTTTTATTGAAAAATATAATACAAATGTAGAACCTGTATAAAATAAATATGTATTTAATAAAATAAATATGTAGTTTAATGAATGTTTATTTCATGATCAGTTTGTCAAAATTTCAACTTTTTTTTTATACCCACTTACATGTACTATTCTTTTAGGCATCTTTTGGTCATTTCAAGGTGGGTTTTTTCCCCCTAATCATTTAAGGTACATCTTAATGATCAGCAACACTGTTTTATCAAATTTGAACATCTTGTGAAAGATATATTACTCTCTAATAGTTATCTTTTTGTATGTTATCTTTTTTAGATAGAGTTTCTAAAGACTTATTTTAAAGTTTAAATTAGCAAACATAATTTGGTTCTGGAATTTGAAAAAGGTAAACACTCTAAAATAACTATATCCTATCTTATGGCAATCATTTTTTTGCATTTTAAAAATAGTTTTATCATCCAAAGGTGCATCCAAAATAAACCATAGGTTTTTCTGTCTATTTTTAAAATACATATTTGTGAACCAAAAGTATCTGAGACAGGTCTCAATCAATTTAGAAAGTTTATTTCACCAAGGTTAAGGATGTGCCCATAACACAGCCTTAGGAGGTCCTGATAATATGTTCCCAAGGTGATCGGGGTACAGCTTGCTTTTTTACTTTTGAGGGAGACATAATACATCAGTCAATACACATTAGATGTACATTGGTTCCATCTGGAAAGGCAGGACAATGCAAAGTGGGGACTGCCAGCTTATAGGTAGATTTAAAAATTTTCTGATTGGCTATTGGTTGAAAGAGTTAAGTTATTATCTAAAGACCTGGAATCAATAGAAAGGAATGTATGGGCTAAAATGATAGACGATTATGAAGACCAAAGTTTTATCATGCAGATAAGCCTCTAGGTAGCAGGCTGCAGAGAGAATAGATTGTAAATGTTTCCTTTTTTTTTTTTTTGAGACGGAGTCTTGCTCTGTTGCCCAGGCTGGTCTTGGTTCACTGCAAGCTCCGCCTCCCAGGTTCACGCCATTCTCCTGCCTCAGCCTCCTGAGTAGCTGGGACTAAAGGCGCCAGCCACCACGCCCAGCTATTTGTTTGTATTTTTAATAGAGACGGCGTTTCACCGTGTTAGCCAGGATGGTCTCGATCTCCTGACCTTGTGATCCGCTCGCCTCAGCCTCCCAAAGTGCTGGGATTACAGGCTTGAGCCACCATGCCCGGCCAATTGTAAATGTTTCTTATCAGACTTCAGGTCTCTGTTGATGTTAATGCTGGTCAACTTTTCCTGAATTCTAAAAGGGAGAAGGGTATAATGAGGCATGTCTGAACCCCTTCATATCATGGCCTGAACTAGCTTTTCAGGTTAACTTTGGAATGCCCTTGGTTGAGGGGTCCATTCAGATATTTGGGGGGGTGCTTATAATTTTATTTTTGGTTTACATATTTTAAATGTCTTTAATCTACAAGTTTCCTTTCCACTTCTTTTCCCCCAGTGCAATTTATTTTTTCATTTAAAAAAAATTTTTTGTGGTACATACTAGGTGTATATATTTATAGGGAAGTGCAATTTATTTGGTAAAGAAAAGGGTTTTGTTTGTTTTGTTTTTAAAATCTGTGTCCTGTAGTGTTTTGCCTAGCTGGAATTTTTTTTTTTTTTTTTTTTTTTGAGATGGAGTCTCACTCTGTCACCAGGCTGGAGTACAGTGGCATGATCTTGGCTCACTGCACCCTCCATCTCCTGGATTCAAGTGATTCTCCTGCCTAGTCTGATGGTTAATTTCAAATATTTGAATGCTGCATAATATCTAGCTCACGATAGACACAAAACTAAACTTTTAAATGAGTAAAGAATGGAATGAAAAAAAAAAAAAAATTCCAGTAGGCCAAAACACTACAGGACACAGATTTTAAAAACAAAACAAACAAAACCCTTTTTTACCAAATAAATTGCACTTCCCTATAAATATATACACCTAGTATGTACCACAAAAAATTTTTTTTAAATGAAAAATAAATTGCACTGGGGAAAAGAAGTGGAAGGAAACTTGTAGATTAAAGACATTTAAAATATGTAACAAAAATAAATTATAAGCACCCCCAAATATCTGAATGGACCCCTCAAACCAAGGGCATTCCAAAGTTAACCTGAAAAGCTAGTTCAGGCACATGATATGAAGGGGTTCAGACATGCCTCATTATACCCTTCTCCCTTTTAGAATTCAGGAAAGTCGACCAGCATTAACATCAACAGAGACCTGAAGTCTGATAAGAAACATTTAAATTGGCCGGGCATGGTGGCTCAAGCCTGTAATCCAGCACTTTGGGAGGCTGAGCGAGCGGGGATCACAAGGTCAGAGAGATCGAGACCATCCTGGCTAACACGGTGAAATCCGTCTCTATTAAAAATACCAAAACAAATAGCTGGGCGTGGTGGCTGCGCCTTTAGTCCAGCTACTCAGGAGGCTGAGGCAGGAGGAATGGCC